TTCCTCGAAATGGACTCGAATTTCACATGTAGTACTTTTTTATAATTTTAATATACTGATATTAATTTAAAAAACACTTATTTTAGTATATTTTTAAATAAAAAACACAATGCACCCTAATCTCAAACAATTATCAAAAAACAAAAAGATCAAATCAGTGGGAGGAAATGGAGAAATCCAATTCATTGAAGGGGGGAAGGTTGTTTTCCAGTGTAATTTACTCAGGCTTGGAGGGAGTGGTAGCCATGGTTATGGTCATTAATTAGTCAAACTTGTATGGTTACATATTCCATCAGACGACACATATTTTGATGCTTCCCTTTAAAACTTTTTCTTCTTACAGATCAGGAGCCATTTCAGTCCAACTGGTGAGAGGTTGCATTGGGAGAAATCAAGGGAGACGACATGTGTCAATTGATAAACCCCCTTTTAAAAAAAAAAAAAAACCTTGATGATAGGGATAATTTAGTCTTTTTACAAGTCTTATTAGTTATTAAAGCTTTAGTTATTAAAGCTTTAACAAGAGGTATATGTATCTTTTCTAAAATTTCAAGCACAATAAAATAAAAATTTTACCTTTAAAATCAGAAAAATTAAACCATATTTCTAGGTGTCTTTTCACCATAATTTTTTTCTTATTATTTCAAGATTTATAAATGGTAGTAAGATATTTTCTCACAAATTATACATTATTTAAATAAAAAAATATAAATATGTAATTGATGTAAACATCGAAATATGAATGATAATTATACATTTAAATAATACATGCTGCTTTTTTTAGCAACCAAAAATTTCATTCGACTATGTTATTTGAAACACCACCATATTTTCTCCTCAATGGTGTTGCTTGTGTTGGTATTGGTGGGGTTGTTTGTTATTGATTGATTTTTCTTTCTTTTTTTTTCTTTAAAAATTATAGTTTGACCTATTATTGATAATTTAAATTTAGTGTTTATTTTTTTAATTTAATTTTTTTATTCTTGGTATTTTTATAGATATTTTTTTCTTTAAATTTTATCATTCAATCTCAATTTATCATATATTTTTTTTAATTTAATCACCATTTTTTTATTTTTCTTGGGCTTTTTGTTGAATTTAATTTTCTTTTCAATTTCACCCATAAATAAAAAAATTGTTTATATTTTTTATTTCAATTTTGATTCTCATTCTTTTATTTTTTAAAAAGGTTTTATGATTGTTTTCGATTTTTTTAATCTAATTATCCTGATTTCAAGACCTGTGCCGTGAATTTCGTGGAATAACATAGGTTTGCTAGACCTTGATTATCGAGATTATAAGTTTACTATGCTAATTCGGGTTGACCCAAATAATCTTTTTAGGTATATATTTTTATCTAATTTGTTATTTTTATATTTAATTAGTTAGAAATTAAGCTACAATGTTGGTTTTCAAAATTCTTTTCTTTTAGAAAAGCATTTTTTTATAGGTTATTGTGATTTTTTTTAAAGTGTGGTTCATAAATTGTTGTTGTTATTTATTTTTTAATAGTCTAATAAAAATAAAATAAACTTATTTGACGTAGTCCCAAGATTTTCTTCCTTTTATGACACCCAAGTCTTGGGTTTTTCATCTTTTTTTTACAATATATTTATAATATTTAATTATTATTTTTATGTAAAACAAATAAACCCACAGTATATCACGAGTACATAGCTACTACGAATTATGATGATTACCATGCTAACCAGAAAACGGATTTCTTCTTTCTTAATTTTTTTTATCGGACGACATCGTTTGATTGAGGGCTTGATAGCTTCTCACCATCCCAATCAGCCTCAACAGGAGACTTCATCACCTGATGACATGTCGAAACCAGGACTTCTAATGCATTTAAATAATTTGTTTATCCCAAATAACGTTGTACACTAAGCCAAACTATACGCTAATGTGGGGAATTGTCTATGAAACCATGATGAAGAACACTAAACATTATCGATTTTTCTACTCCCAATAATTTCAAGTGATCAATATAATCATAATACAAGACACGTGGCCTCGCTCCCATACCTACCAATACCCTTTCCATCGTTAAATTTGCAACACTGGTTATTATAACTACTTAGATCATCTAGAGAACCAGGTCCTCTCTGAAAGATGTTGATGTTTGACAGAGCGTCATGATAACTAGAAGACTTGCCCTGGCCAAATAATAATTCCATTTCGACTCCATCGATCACGCCAATCTAAGAGGGCGTGTGGTGGGGACTGTATTTAAAAAGTGTTTTTAAAAATTATATTTTTAAAATAATATATTTTTAAATTATTTCAATATATTAATCTTAAAAATAATTTTTAAAAAATAAAAAATATTATTAATATATTTTTTTAAATAAAAAATATTTTAAAAATTAACTATAATTATAATTTCAAACACACTTGAAAAATATAACTATCATGGTAGGTTTGCAGGTTTGCAATCTCATGTCTTAAACATATTAATTTAAAATTAATAAAAATATAAAAAATTTTAAATTTTTTTAAAAATATTTTTAAAACGCAGAAACAAACAAACTCTAAGTGTCATATTCGGATCATAGTTGAACTTGTTTTTTATAAAATATTAATTTTTTTTGTTTTAAAATATTTTTTTATCATTTTAATATATTAATATAAAAAATAAAATTTTAAAAATAAATAATTTATTTTAATAAATATTTTAAAAATTAACTATCACCGCATTTTCAATCCGTCCCAGAACCTGCTCGAGAAATAAAATCAATATATTCATTTGGTCTCAAACACTCATAGGATAGCTTTCTCTCTTCTGCACAGTGGTGTAGCTCTACTGGAATTCAATTTACCGTCGTTGGTAAATACATTGAATTTCCGTAATTACTCTTTCTAGAAACAAAGAACTCACAAGTAAAATTACAAAATTACACTGTGCCCACTCTCTGTCCAATGTTATTTAAAAAATAATAATTTATAAGTCTTCTTCCAAGTCTTTCTTTCTTTTTTGACGCAGCAAGTTGTTAAGGACATGATTTAGAAAAAAACAAAAAAAA